CTGTATGATAAAACTGAAAAAAGTGAAATATATCCACTTTAATTCACATATCGCTTTTGACTCATGGCCCGGCTGCTTGATTTTGCCACAGCGTACATAGTACATACACAGCCGATCTCGGTATGTTTCTGTTCCAGAACAGCAGCTGCAGCGGACACCAAAAATGCATTCATGTTCTGACAACTTATTCCAAAGATAGTTACACATATTTTACGACGAACGTTCCAGAGAAAGTATTTTTCGCTCACAGATGCTCAGCAAGAAGCGCGCGATTGATTGCAACTAGCACGCTCACGATTTCTAATATAGCGCTGGCCAAAACCTGGCCCTTACATCCAAATATAATAATATTAATTCCAGTCTCTGTCCTATTTACTACTTATTAGCGCATCGAGAGTGAATGATACCACGGCATAGCCGTCATATTACATAGCACAAATTGCGAGACGACGTCGAGACCCGTATCGGTGTATCCTTCACATCCGGCTGTCTCGCCTCCACTCTCAATCAACCCTGACACACCATCAACCGAGCCGCGTCGGCTCCGACCATCTTGATCCCCGCACTGAAATCTGATGGCCGGCCCGTAATTTCATCCTATCCGTCAGCGCGCACTACACCCGAGCTCAGCCTAAAGTGCACTGTGCGGCCTTCTCCGGATGACGCCTCTGAGCATGGCGCTTGACTTGCACCTGGATGCATAGAGCCTCTTGTTCGTGTACGGCCATTATCATTTCAGGAATCGGATGGTCTCGGCGGTGGCGGCGCTGGTCACCGTGGAGCCGTTGAAGACACAGTCAGCTCGAGCACCCGCGACCAGTGACCTGTAAAGCAGCGAGTCGCGGCACATCACGACGACCGTCACGTTTCAGTCACGAAGGCCGTTATAGAAGTCACGGCGGCCGTCATATGCCAGCCGCTGCGACCATCACATAGCAGTCACGGTGACCGTCACAGGTCACGACGGTCGTCAAATACCACTACGAGCCACGGCGACAACGACTCATAGCTCATGATTAACGTTTCCTGTCGCACACTCAGCTAAAATAACATTACATTAGCCTGTACACACATTTCTCACTCGACAAATCGAAATCCGAACCTGAGACCCATCATACGTCACGACACTTGCAGCAGCACCCGCATTTAGCAGACACCCCATCCCGGCAACACAAAAAGTTCCCCCGAGCCACCCACCTATAGGTGAGTGGTCCTTATAAGGACGCGGCGACGGGTCACACAATGCCATTACGTCACTGACCTAGTGACGTGGTACGATACAGCATGACCTGTGGTCTGTGGACGCCTTGGACTAGTCCACACAGTTACTGACCTGGAGATGATGTGATGGTTTCTGGACAATGTGGCTGGATACACGCGCCACGTGGCTGGCCATCACAATGCTACTTCCTGCAGGTGACGTTCTACAGCTGGGATCGAACCACTGCCTCCTGAACCACTGCCAGCAATGAACCTGGTGAAAGATAATATGGTCAGAACTCAGAATCCACAAAGCATACCTACAATAGAAACGACAAAGCCAGCCACATGAACACAATGGCAGAATGTTATGCTAAGCTTATCATGTTTCCAAGACTTTTAGTTTAATCGACACATAAGACTGCAATTGTCTACGTTAAACTCATCAGTCATCACATATCTAACAAAGTACTGACTTCCTGAGAAAGCACAGAACTTGTTTAATTATCAAGCAGCCTTTGTCTCCGTATTCCTCACACATTGAGCAGATGGTGGATGAGGTGATAACGGTGATTAAGCTCTGTGGAAAAGAAGAAGGAAATGAAGTCCATTTTATGCTAGAGTGTACCAAGCTAACAGAAGAAAGACAATGAAACCTAGCTCTACTGAGGCCATACGTGGAAGAACCCAACAAGGTACTGAAAGCATTCCTCTTTAACGAGGATAGAAAAGAGATGGAGCAGAACAAGGATGGACTCTACCAGCTCTGGAGGCTGAGGAGAAAACTGGTGACAGAGGCAGGTGACGAGGAAAGGGCTTAACCAACATCCTAAGCTTATCCTACCAATACCCTCCCACCCGACCTGTGTTTATAGGGCTACCGATGCAAAGGTGACAGCCCGACCACATCATCAGCATCAGCATCAGTCCTGTGACACTCACCAAACCCAGCTATTATGGCCATACTCCTGGGGGAGCTTCGGGCTTCCCACATAGGGTAGTTGTCTGTACAACCCGGAGCAGGATTGACCAGGATTGGCCAGAGGGGCAGGGCATGTACCTATTTCATGATCGCTACACAAATATACTTTTTTAGTGATATAATATTTTAATGGCTAATCCTTGTCAGCTTTTGTTTGTTCACAGCATCATTTATTTCTGGTAATTCATTTCTAACGCTCATTGCTGCAAGCTCCAAAGGCACCTACCTCAATGGCCATCCGAAGCAGGGGGTTGATACGCGGAGGAGAAGAGGATGGATTTGAGAGGGAGAACACCATGGAAGCGCGCAAAGAGAGAGCGGATGCACAAAATGAATCTAGGTATTAGGTTTATAAAGACTTGCGGTAGACTACATACTTCAAAGGATTGGTAATTGAGGCATGACAAATCAATAAAAACAAACAATGTACGGCGCCTTGCAGCTTGCAACAAACTCTGCACTGGTGATTTGCATCTCAACTAAACCATAGAACAAAAACTTAAAACAAAATCACCCAACCTGGCACACGAAGCCTCTCACAATAAAACATTATAAGTGCTTACCATAATACCACGGGAACGGTGTGACTGAAAAAATGTCTAATACCTTGCCCAATACCACCAAATCCGACAACAAAATCAACAAAATACACAGAAACCAATATAAAACTGAAGAGTGTTCTCAATTAGCGAAAGAAACGCCGTTAGACCAATCAAATGTGAGCACTGGCGTTTGCTAGCGAAAGCAATACAGAAAACTGTGCGCAACTGTGGGTGAAAATCATGGTCTGCAGTTTTCAACACCAAACCTCGTAAATGCCAGAGGTCATCATGCTTTACGACTTATATCAACAAATAGACAATTGAATTTTATTTATTATTCATCTTGAAATAGACACCGCCATAGGCTTGTTTTTTAGTAATATTTCGTTAATTTCCATAGTGTAACCTTCAGCAGCATGAATGGTAATTCATTCTAGACCAAAAAAATATATTCAATACCTTCTAAATTGCAATCAAATATACATATCTGGAAAGAAAATTAAATTTTGGTTGTAATACAGAACTTTCGAAAGCATATGATTGACAGTTTAACCAAGAAGCAATGATTTCGTTCAGAAATGTTGGGTTCTCAAAAATCTAAGTTCGAGACTCGGAAGTAATTTGTCAAAATGCCAGAGGTCATAGAGCTTAAAAATTTCTGATTTCTAATAGTTTAGACAATTTTGTAAATTTTGGTAAATGTTTTAGACACCGCCATAGGCTAGTTTTTGAAAAATACTACATTTAGTGGAACAGGGTGACCAAGGACACCAATGGCGGCTGTGTATTCAACATCATCTAAATTCAGTTTTTAACATTTAAAAGGCAACATAATGCACAGATTCTGAAAGATAATTTAAATTTGATGTTTTCTGACCATATTTAGAACCCCACATCACTGATATTAATCGATAATTTGTGGTAGAACAATGGCAGGTCCGGTAAGCTGAGGAGTTCAGCACTATGCTGATTTTGTAATTCAAGGAAACAATTTTTGCCCATGATATTGCTTTTTCATTTTTGATTTTAAATTTTAAGAGTAGAAAAATAATGTTGTCCCTGACAAACTCCTTAAACCTTAGAACCATCATTTTCGAAATGGCGGAGTTGGACAAAAATTTATTTTCGTTGTTACTTTACAGATGTTGATAAGCTGTGCTTTCTGTACATTAATTAAAAATATATATTTGAATAATAAAAGATATTGAAATCTGTGGCACAGTTTTCTTTTTTGGACTGAAGAGGTCAGCTGAAAATAGTGGTCAAAATACCTTAGTGTTGAAGCGGCAAACCGGTTTTACCTAGTTCTCTATATACCGTGCTGGGCCCTGTTTCACCGGTGATAGCAGCAAGCTACTATCAAATTGCGCGAGCTGACGTAATGTGATGACGTCATACTGCTGACGTAAGGGGCAATTCTGGCGCACGATTGCCGCAATATTGTTTTACGTCATCAGCTAAATGTTCGAAGTTAATGTCCAAATTTTTCCTAAACCCAACTTCTTTTAAATACATCATATTGAAAAAGTATATATCAAAAATATATATACTATCATGACTGCGTAAACACTTACTTTTAGGCTCATACGTCACTTAATGCCGCCGCCAAGGTCGCGGCAATCGTGCGCCGGAACTACCCATTACGACAACAGTATGGCGTCACGACATGACGTCAGCTCGCGAAACGTGATAGCAGCTTGCTGGGCCCTGTTTCACCGGTGATAGCAGCAAGCTACTATCAAATTGCGCGAGCTGACGTAATGTGATGACGTCATACTGCTGACGTAAGGGGCAATTCTGGCGCACGATTGCCGCAATATTGTTTTACGTCATCAGCTAAATGTTCGAAGTTAATGTCAAAATTTTTCCTAAACCCAACTTCTTTTAAATATATCATATTGAAAAAATATATATCAAAAATATATATATATACTATCATGACTGCGTAAACTCTTACTTTTAGGCTCATACGTCACTTAATGCCGCCGCCAAGGTCGCGGCAATCGTGCGCCGGAACTACCCATTACGACAACAGTATGGCGTCACGACATGACGTCAGCTCGCGAAACGTGATAGCAGCTTGCTGCTATCACCGGTGAAACAGGGCCCTGCTATCACCGGTGAAACAGGGCCCTGGGGGTGCTCGGGCGCAGCAAATCCGCCGCCGCCTAGCGGTGACCTTGACCCGCGCCGCCCGGCCGCGGCTCCAAAGCCAAGCCGGCGTGGCCGGCGTGGAATTGGGAGAGCTCGAGCACCCCCAGTCCAGCACAATTCTCCACCCGTGTTTATATGCACCAGTCGCATACAGGTACGGGATTTAGCATACGATTTCCAGACAATCGAAAGACTGTTTGGAGCCAACAAAGGAAGGAATGAGTGAGTTAAGTTGAAAGTATTAATTTGGTTCAAAATGATGATATAGATAACCTAGTTATTTAAAGCTAAATATCTTATGACGAGAGCGGTTGGCATTTTTGGTATGCAGTGTTATTCATTGAGAACCGGTCGGAGTGTTTGAGTCTTTAATTTAGTGGTCGCCGCTTACTAATCATGCGGCATACACGCCGCACATAACCGCCAATGCCGCAACGCAGCTTAGATTTCGAAGTAAGCATTTAGTCCCACCCTTTCCCCAACTGATATATGGCAAAACCGGCAAAACATGCAGAATGTCACTAGGGTCAAGTCTAAAAACTATCGCCCGAACAGCACTGGTGATGAGCGCGTTCGCACTTATGCTTGCAAAATGACGTCATGAGCTCTAAATCATTGGAGCAAGTTGTGCTGTTCAGTTCAGTGACCCTAGTATTAGCTAATGGATATTCGACCAAGGTTGGATTTTATTTTTTACGGTACAAACTCTGATTTTTTTTTCACTCCCTGGCCCCTGCAAATCTTGACTTTGCCGATCCATCCTAGCTTACAGCGTACCATTCCAATTCGATGATGTCACGGTTACATTCAGCGAAGATTCAGCTGACTATGTTCATTAACCAAAAGACCAAATTGAGGCTTGGCGAATATTGACGAAAACAGCGCGGCAGCAGGCGGTTAGGGTGGATGGTGAGTGGTGTTTTAAGGTGATTTTTATTTTTTAAGACACGTTTGAACTTTTTGGACATTGTTTATCACTCAACCAGTGTTCTATACCTACACTGGTTCTATACCTATACCATGACTTTGACTTAGCCTCTCGGCTACATGCTTATCAATAAATAGGGGGATGGGGGCATCCAGTGATCCATTTGTGCCACAGTTAAAGTTCATATCAATATCGAGGCCAGTAGTTCATACTTTGGTTCATATTTGCTAGGTATATGCCACACCAGACTTTGTAGGTCAAGATCTTCAGAAGATGAGGTTGTAGGTAAGGTGAGGTCAGGTTTCATTATGTTTTGTTATATATTTACTGTGAAAAGACTAATGTGCCATATTATCATGAGACATGGGCCATGTGGCTTCACTGCAAATCAGGTTATCATTAGTTATTATCCTGCTCCTGTAGGTACTGTGCACAAGCCATTCCTACTGCATCTATCATCAGCTGCTGCATACAAGCCCAGAAGCTTACAAGGGTCTGGCTTAAATGAATATGTTTTTGTTTTTCTTAGCTGATTGAAAGAAAAATGAATGTTAAATGAAAAATAAATAATAAAAATAATAATATATAATAAATAATAATATAATAATAATAATATAATAATAAATAATAAAAAAATAAATAAATGAAAAAAGTTTTTGCCTGGTCTTAAGGCAAACCTGACAACCATATTTCATTTTTCAGGTTCATACAATCTTATTCATTGTCATTGAATACTGCCAGCCCAGCAACCTGACAGATATGCATCACACTTACTAATACATTCATGCTAATAGGCTATTTTGCAGTCACTTATAGGTGATGACCTATGTAAATTGATATTTGTTTTATATGATGCTACATTAGGTACCTACCTACAATCATATTTATATTTTTTATATCTTGCTCTTCATAGCATCTCATGGTTCACAGAATATTTCTGTTGAAGAAAGCTGGTCACATTTTGTCAGAAAACATTGGCTTGTACAATGCAAAAAATCACAATTCATTCATCTTTGATGTTTTGAATGCTTCAAAATATGCTGAATCAAAGAAATTGTTTGCCTATTTTTCAACTAGCCATGTGTGGCAATCCAGTACATCTCACAAATGCACTTCATCTGCAAGTGTTCCTCCTGAGCGGCCGCCGGGCGCTGGATGTCCCCCGAATGACCCGACCGGCCAGCCGGAGAGCGCCTCGGCCGACGGCGGCGACGACGCCCGGCAGCCGCCTGAGCCGCCCACCGTTTGCTGCATGTCCGGCTGCGCCAACTGCGTCTGGATCGAGTACGCCGAGCGGCTCGCCGACTACTACGCCGACGGCGGTGACGCGGCGCGGCGCGCCATCCGCGAGCACGTACAGGACCCGAGCCTGCGAGCGTTCCTGCTGCTGGAACTTAGGACCAGATGATGACCCATCCCAGCCCCATGCACAATGTGGCAAGAGCGATGGTGGCAACAGCCATTCGAGATAAAAATATACAGAACATGTTTGTTCCTGACTAAAAACCGTAGAAGGCAGTGTGCAGCGTATGCACCCAACTTTCTTAACACCATTGGATTGTTACAGGGACTTGTACTGTAGACACAGCTCCATTCATACTGCGGCCCGCGTCGAAATGCGCGCCGCGCGAATCGCTAGTGCCCGTAGTTCGTAATGTGTAGTGGAATTTGCTCGAAATGTGAATTGCCCAGCCGGTGAAATTTTAGTTGGATGTACGATTGAAGTGAAGCGTCTCCGCGTATACATGATAACGTGCTGGAATGACTGTTCATAGGTTGCCTGTGATACCAACGCCGGAGCGAGAAGCCATGGAACTTGTGTTGTGGTGCTGTTATGCTGCCGGATTGTTGCAATATTCAGTTCGAATTAATTATGAAATTTTTCTTCAATATATATTTATAATGGATATTGTGGTTCTGATCACGCGGATTGAACTAAATAACCAGTCGCTGGCCTGGCTGTATTAGTTAGGAAGTAACACGTGGGTTCCGGACAAAAAGTCAAATGATAAAAGGTAAAAGGATGTTTAGTCAACAGATTGTCTGTCAGACATAACGTCAAAAGCAAGAAGTCAAAAATCTGAAAAGTCAACAGGTGAAAGGTCAACAAAGAGGAAAGTCAAAAGACAAAAAGTCAAATGGACATAGGGTCAAAAGACAAAAAATAAAAACGGCAAATAGTCAAATTGCCAAAAAGTAAAAAGTACCTACAAAAGTCGAAAGACAAAAAGTCAACAGGATATAAAGTCAAAATCCAAAACATCAAAAGAACAAAAAGTAAAAAAAAAAACAAGTCAACAGGATATAGACAAAATAAAAAGTCAAAAGGACAAGAAGTCGAAATCCAAAAAGTCAAAAGAATTAAGGTAAAGGGACATAAAGTCAAAATCAAAAAGCCAAAGGTCAAAAAGTCCAATAGACATATAGTCTAAAGCCAAAAAGTCAAAAGACAAAAAATCAAAGGAACAAAAAGTCTGACAAAAGTCAAAAGACGAAAAGTCAACAGGAGATAAAGTCAAATTACGAAGAATGAATCCATGAAAAGCAGTGGCGCCGGAACCGAGGGGGGGGGACTGCGTGAGGGGGAGGGGGAGCCCCCTCCAGCTTTTCGGCTGGGGGGGGGGCTCGTAATGTATTTGAGCCCCCCCCCCCCCCCCCCAGCTGGAGGAATCGAAATCGGAAATCTACCAACAAATTTCATAGATTCATACATAGGCGCGGGAACCGGGAGGCAGTGGGGCCGTGGGGGCGGTGCCCCACAACTTTTCATAAGGCCAGGAACCGTTCGGGCAGCTTGTCCTCCCCAAATTAGGGGTTGTGGATCACAAAGGAAGAAAGCATGTAAGTGAAAATCCAACTGTTTCACTGGGTGGGCAACTCATTTGGCGGATAAAACTTTTATTCCAGGTTGCCAAAACGGTAGTTTCTTCACTCAGCTGAGACGGGATATCTCACTTTTTTTGCAAAGTTTTTTCGTTGAAAAGGCCAAGGTGTGAAAAATATGTTACCTAAAATCGTTGAGAAAACTAGTTTTGGGGGTACCCTACTGATCTCTATTATGGTGAGCCCCCCCCCCCCCCCCCACACACACACACACTATGGAAGAAGTTCCCGCGCCACTGATCGCATGAGAGGGTATCAGTAAAATTTGACTATCTCGGAATTTTGATATCGGTGACCTAAGATCAGGTCAATTCTGTGACCTCTCCATTATAAGTCAATGGGAGAAAATTGAGATAGGTAATCTTCTTTTAGCCGAAAACACCCTCAAACATCGGAGCAGAGGTGAACACTGAACATGACACACTGAACCGGAAAATTGCACCTGTGACCCTATTATGCCTCTGAGGTATCTCAGGTCATCAACAGTTTTTCTTCAAAGTCTTCAACAGTTTTTGTTGAAAGTCTTCAACAGTTTTTGACAATAACTTTAGATAGAAACATGCTACAGCGCTGAAAACCATAGACGGCGGAACGGGGGGGGGGGGCACCGGGACACCGTGCCCCCTTTGATTTTGGCATTTTAACATTAGCCCAATGGGCGTTGCATGGAAAGAATGGGACCAAAAGTCGCCAGTGCCCCCCCCCTACTTGAAGGTGTTCCGCCGCCGCTGAAAACATTATGAATGTATTGAGCTCAACAATACGAATCGAATGGCATGCAACATGACTCTTTCCTTGACCTTAACCTGAGGTCAAATTTCCAAATTCACCTTTTCAGGTCAACTTATTGTTCATCAAACACGTCTCAACGAGACAAACGCGATGCCGGTAAAGTCGGCGTAATACAAGCTTGGAGTCGGAAGTTATACAGAAACCTTTTCCGCAAAAATGTCAAATTTCGAGTTATTGCCCTCTGGAAGCTAAACCATTGAAACCTGAGAACAATACCTACTCAGGAAGACCTTTCAAAGAGCTATCGAAAGCGTTTTTGCACAGCGCTGTAGCTCTATTGGTTCCCGGCCTATCCGCCAGTTTATGAAAAGTTGTCAAAATCGGGAACAAAAATTCGTGAAAATTTTACCTTTGGTAACCTCCCAAGGACCTCAGCGATGACCTGATAAAAATGACCTTTACGATTCTGAAAGATCTCATAGCAAACTACCTATTACTTTTTACTGCGTCTTTCTTGCTTGCTTATTTTCCGAGACAACCTGGTGTGGCCAAACAGCCGTGACACTGCGTCACGGAGGGATAGCTTGAAATGAGTCTACTTTTATTCATTAGAACGGCTGCCCAAAACCAAGAGCTGTGTTTTTGCTTTGACCTGGAAGGTGTTAATACTCGACCAAACACTCAGTGAAGTGAGTCATGCCTCCATGGATGGGATCAAGGGTGGGATAAAAGACCCTCGGTTGTCCCTACGGCCACTAACTTATGCCTACCTTGCTATCGTATAAGTGCGGCGAAAGGCAGCAGCGCCCCTTGCGTGCAGTGATAAGTTGTAAAAGAATGTTGCAACAGTAACATTGCAATGCCTCCTCTGTTGCTGGCTGCCAGAATTCGGTCTGGTACAGACAATAGGGCGGTCTCTGCGAGGTGCCGGGAGCCAAAACCGTGTTCGAGGATGTCAGAGGATAGTGGGAGCGGTAGTGGCAGAGCTGCTGATGGACAGGGCGCTCCACAAGGTCACGGTCTGACGGGGAGTGAGGAGACTGATCGGAAGCTGGTGTGGTCGGGGTACCTTTAGTAATTGTCGGACGGGGAGGTGTAATGAGTGTATTCAAACACCGGGACTGTCCGAGCTGGTGATGCAAGTTGAAAGATTATGCTAGATGGGAGCACCTGCGGGAGCTGTAAAATTTAAACGTTCTTGATATGCTTTGTTTGCTCTATCGTACAGGGTATATTGAATTAGGTTTTATATATCGTATATGTTTTATGGCCTTGTATCCCATATATAAAAATCAAATCGTTATATGAAAAATGAAGTATCAAGATTATTAATGGGCAAAGATGGATCCCAGCACCGAACTGTGGGGTTGATCGTATGTCGGTGTGTACTCAAAGAAACCGATGGTGTAAAACAAATTCATTACAAAGTCAATGACGATATATTTTGTCATCGATATGATTATCCATCATGAGTAACTACATGTTTGGGTTACAATCGCTGAAGTTGCATTACCTCACGGTCCCTTAAAGTGTTGGGCCTAACATGCCCTTGTGTGTACTCTATGTACTACACTTAGACACAGGTACACACTACCCGTGTGCCAGTTGGATGTAGATGTACAAACAGTAGGCATCAAGCGCGTGATTCAACCCACCGTTGGCTACGCTGTATCCATTACAACATTCTCTTTGTTCTTCTCTTCACAGGCATCCATTATCCCTAAAAAAGAAGCGTGGTTGTCAGAGTGTATGCAATATACTGACGCAAGCTGACACCGTATATCAGTGTCGGCTGTCAAGAAAAAAAAACAGCGATTGGGAATATCAAAAGGGGCACAAAACAATGTTCATGGCAATGACGGTGTCAGCTGTGAGCTAACCTCATAACAGACGGCTATACTTACACAAGGGGGTTCGACCCGCAGCTTGAAAGTAGTTCCCAAGCCTCTGAGCATTATACCTTTTGCCCAAAAGAAGAGCAGCGCAATTCCCATTTACTTATGGAGATATGTATCGCAAAATTGAACTTATGTCAGGTCACTGGAAAAAGGAAATGGAGTTATAATTTAATACGTCTTGTCACTTGTCAATCGCCAAAAGTCTCAAAGCAGTCATTCAGTCGGTGTAGCGATGGCCAATATTTTTCATGATGTGAAGTAACAGGTTAACCCGCGACCGCCTCGGATCCGACCCCCCCCCCCCCCCCTCTGTTTTCATGAATAACTCACGAACCGCTTACGCTATTAACTTGAAACCTCGTATACCTTCTCCTTCATCAATTTGACGGCTTTTTGTAAAATTTTTATGCTAATTTTTCAAAAACTTTTTGAAATATATCGATTTTATTGATGTAACTACATAGCTTATTTCGTCAAAAAATAGTAAATGTTTGAAAAAATCGCCAAAAATCGAGGGTTTAAGCAAATTTCAAATTAAAGACATGAAAAGACGCAGCTCAATGGGTTCTTTGAAATAGCTATCTCGCTTTTCCCGTAAAGTGCGTTTTTGACCCCTAAAAATTAAAAAAAAACTATATTTTATTTGGAAAACAGCTAATAAAATCAAAATTTTCAAATTTTCAAAAACCGGAATATATGTTATAGAGCTCTATTAGAACATTAGAAGTCCCAAGTTTCAACTTTCTATCTTGATTTTTGACCCCCAAATTGTAAAAAGTAGCTTCGACATATATAGGGCATCATGACGTCATACGCATTTTCGTGAGTTTGAGGCACTTCTAAACATCGCATAAAACAAATGGCAGCATTAGATTCCTGGGACACAGCTTGTCTAGAAAAGTGCATTTTTATGTCAAAAACATTGAAAATTTGACTTTTTTCTTGGTGATGTATAATATAAACGATTTTGTATGCTTGCCTATGACCAGGACAGTGACTTTGGGTTACATATAACCATGACCATCGGATTCGGCGAGAAAATAAGCCATAAAACATTGTCGCATGCCCATGTAGCAGAAAGTGAAAACCGTGACCTTTCGTGACCTGACCTGACCTTGACCCGTGCTTAGTATGACCCTTATACGCACATGATATCTTCACCAGGCCTTTGACGTCATTTTTGGTGAGTTTCGAGCAGGAGCTATCGATTTCCCTGTCAGTAAGCCTCATCATGCAAAACCCCAGAATTTGACCTTTGACCTGGTCTTGACCCGAAAGTTAACCTCAATTTTAAAATCTTAAGGGTGGTTTGGAAAGATCTCGTAGAGACCTTTCGAACGTCGTCTCGCGGGGGCCGGGGCTCGATGCGACAATTGGTTCTCGAGATAACAGGGGGGGGGGGTCGGATCCGACCCCTCCTCAGGCTGTCGTGGGTGCGGAAATAGCCCAGGCGGCGCCGGGTTAACTTGTAAACTGTTAACCTGACCTTCATTGATTCGGGGCTAATATTTTTACATTTTTACGTTATGTTCACAGGAAGAAAATGTACCCTGGGGCGTACCAAAAATTCTACCAACCAAAAACGATGTACTCGAGAAAACAATGTGTGTGTGTGTGTGTGTGTGGTGGGGACGCTCCAGTCACGGCGTGGGTTGACACGGCGAATGAGTAACGGGACTATAGAATGGACTCATTCCATGTTAACCTACCAACAAACACTCGTGTCAAGTGGGCCAGTGGCGTCACTGACTGAATTAGTACCTATCACACAAAGACCTCTAATCAATGACCGATGAGGCAGGGGATCACCTGCAGGGGATCGGGATCCATGAGTCATGACCGTAATTGCCATGCTAGAATTAGAGGCCTTGCAACAGATGGCTTGGGTGTTACAGGAAAAGAACACTTTAAGAGTGTCGACGAAATCTGAATCACTCCCACTTCGGGGTTGGTCCTCCGTATTGAAACTGCAGATAAAACGTATCAAAACAGGAAAAAGTCTGCCACGTAAAAAGCACACCCTCTTAGCTAGCGGGGCCCCATAAAACACCCCGGCACGATCAAATAGACTGATGTATGTACATAAGGAAGTCTCCCAGCCTCGCAGAATGTTTGCTAACGACCGAGGGGTGACACTTGACAGGCCTTTCGCCTGGTGACTATGCTCGGTACTTTTTCATATACAGAACTTGTGCGAACTCGGTACTGAGTTACGGAGTGGATCTGAGTTTCATAATGACACTGAGCAGTGAGCTACATCGTGACGCTGAGCTACACAGTGGCGTTGAGCTATAGAGCGGGTACTGAGATACGATTCACGGACAAAATTTCGTATCGTTTAAGTACGGGGACCCGCAGTTGCTACTGTGCAGCGACCCTGAGTAAAATATTGTCCCAGCACCCTCACATGGAAACACGATAAGCTGTCAGAGGGCACGCACAGAAAACCTCAGCTGCTCTTGTACAGGGACCGGCAGTCGATATCAATGTTATCGGTTGTTACTGGACAGGACAGACAGCTAGAGTTGGGGTTCGTGTACAGAAGCAACCGCGGGTCCCCGTACGTAGGGCCCAAGTACGCACGCCAATGTTCGCACGCAAACGTACGTAGGGACAAAAGTACGTATCGCTAAAAAGCAGTCTTTCCTGACCTGAACTAACCTGGCCTAACCTAACCTAGCCTAGCCCAACATGATCCAGCTCAACCTAGCCTAACCCATACTTTGTTCATGTATGCTTAATAATTCCTTACGTACAGTACCGATGCATATATTTGCGCTACATACTTTTGCTGTCGTACATTTGCCACACGTACTCATGCGATACGTTTTTTTTTTGTCCGCAACCCCTAAAATACAGAATGGACAGTGGACACAATAGTACAGAGTGGGCACTGGGATGCCTACAGAGTGAGCACTGAGCTACATAGTGGGCACTGAGCTACAGAGTGGGCACTGAGCTACATAGTGGGCACTGAGCTACAATGGACGCTGATATAAGGAGCAGGCAATGATCTACATAGTGGGCACTGAGTTAAGGAGCAGGCAATAAGCTTCATAGTGGGCACTGAGTTAACCCGCGCCCCGCTGGGCTATTCAGCCATACGCGCCCTGCTGGGGGGGGGGGGCAGATTCTGCCCCCCCCCCCCGTCTAACTTCCGAACCGATGGTCGTAGAAAGACGGGGAAAATGGCAATCGAAAGCTCTCAACAAGACGGATCTTAAGAGCCCAAATTTTTTGCTTAAGTAGGTCAGAGGTCAGGTCAAGGTCAGGTCAAGTCAAGGGTACAAAATGCAAGTTTCTACAGTATCGGCCTTGCACCGTAGTTGCCGAAGAATGGACTGAGACTGATGGCCCAAAACGTGTTCTTAGACTACCAAGACAATATTCGTTGCATACAATGTCATTCAAAGGTCAAGGTCAAGGTCAGGTCAGGTCAGGTCACCAAAAACAAAATATAGAAAAGGCATGTGTGACACATGTTTTATGGGTCATTTTACTCATAGAATTCAATAGGCACACTCAATAAGTGATATGGACCACCTCTGGATGAATTTCAGGTCGAGGTCAGGTCAAGGTCAGGTCAAGTGAGGTCAAATTTTGAAGTTGGTTGTTAAGGCCTAAAAAGGTGTCTATCTGATGCAGTTTTTCCCGGAGAATCGAATGGTGCTATTTTTGTTTCCGTACGAGGTCTAGAACTTCAAAAAAAAATCATTAAAAAAAAATTGTGTGTCATGACGTCATAAAATTTCGAAAACTCCCACATTTTTAACCGATTCTTCTAAAAATTGGTATGTATGTAGGTGCACATAGACTACTTCTCTGACAAATATTCAGTTTTTTTCGATACACTCAAAATTTTGGATCTTATAATTATTTTCCCAAAAAAGTCAGTTTTTGAAAAAATTTGGGCCAAAATTCAAAATTTTCAAAAAAACCGAGATAGCCATTTGATAGACAAAGTAGAATCACGTATAACATTTTTTTGTTACGTCTTGATTCCTTTAAAAATGAAGATGTTAGCGGCGTTTAAAATTTTGCCGTTTTTGAGGCGAAAATGGCGAACATGAGGTCACTAAAACGTGAATTTCTAAACAATTTTCCGACGGATTTCGCTCAAATTTTCAGGGAACGTGTCAAATTGATGTATGATAAGGTACTGAAAGTTTGACGTCGCTGGCGTAACGCGTTCAGAAGTTATCGGCGAAAAACGGGAGGGGGGCAGATTCTGCCCCTCCCCCCCCCCCCCCCCAGCGGGGCGCGGGTTAAGGAGCAGGCAATGAGCTACATAGTGGGCACTGGGCACTGAGTTAAGGAGCAGGCAATGAGCTACATAGTGGGCACATACATACTCGTAGCTACATACATAGAGCTACAGTCTAGGGGACGGACGCGGACGGCCACTCACGGGAGGCGATGTTGACGTAGAGTCGAGTGGTGACGTCCAGGTCGGCCGAGAGGTCCAAACCCTCGTCACAGCTGCGCGCCACCCTGCGCGGCGCGACGCCGACCATCAGTGTCACACAGTAGCAGCTCCACTACACAGCTACATAGACCGACTTTACTCACACGCTTCCCTAACAAAATTGTTAGGTCGCTATCCACGCACTCCCCTAAAAAAAAATAAAAGTCTAACATCCACTTGGGCAAGAGGGGTGGGCAATGCATAACTGTACATTTTGATGCTTTTATGACGGGTAACAGGACAGAACTGAATGTGTCGAAACTGTTCGAAGAACTAATGCCAGGTTCAGTTGATATTGGCTGCTTCTAATTGACAGTTGTAGATGATTTTCTCAGCATCGTCTTACTACTAAGGCATTCTGCGTTTAGTTATGATCTGACCTGGGATCAAGCGGGATCGAGCCGAGGAAAGGCACGTGCATGTCGCGAGCCATCTGTTCCGCGCCGCCAGTGCTTGGCGGGAAGATACGCGTGGTCGTCTGAAAAAGTCAGGTTTTGTCATGGCATATTTATGTTCGGTTCCACTCGAGTCTGTACTCTACAGTATGCCTGAACAGTGAGAATATCATCATCAATCAGGCTGCGCATTATTGATTTTTGACTGAAGGAGAATCCAACATCGGCCCGACTTGAAGCCGGTTACGGCAGATTCCAGAGTAGTTAGGTGTGATATTGAACAAAGGGTGTCCAGTTCAAGTTTGTTTCGAGCAGCTGGGTTGACAGCCAAGAGCTTTGTTTGTTTGTTTTGTTGGGTTAGGCCCTTTCGGTCGACAAGACCATTGCAGAGCCGGAAGGATGATAGGAATTAGGGGGAGACATTGGTCTGGGCAGGCACCCTAGTGAGTCGCCGGGGCTGAGCCCGTCCAGAAGACAGGCCACCCAGCCCCAAGGCACTCACTGCACCCGGCTACGGGGTGCGCTCCCTCAGGAGCAGCGGTGCCGCTCCAAGGGAGCAGCCCGCATGAGATAAAGTTGCCTGTCCAGCCCGGAGGGGGGTTGCGGCGTGGAGGAGAAGGATTTCAGTATCCTGAGGATAGAAACACGGATAGGTGACAGCCAAGAGCTCTGTCAGCTCTACTTTACACTTGCCGCTCTGTAGTTCATGTTGTCTGCAAAATAAATAAGTCCTATGAAAAAAGGCCAGATTCTCGCGCTCGTTCGTTTGTCGCCCCAAGAGGCACTTTACTGATAATGGATCACCCAGAAATTTTCATTCTAGCGTGGTTTCAGACTTTAAACTGTCACTGTTGAAATAACAAATGCTTACCTGGCATTTTGGGCAGGCGAAAGCGGCCATGTTTTCAACCACTCCCAGGATGGGAACGCCGACCTTCCTGCAGAAGGTGATTTCTTTCCGCACGTCCAGCAGAGCCACTTCCTGAGGCGTAGTGACGATCACAGCGCCATCTATGCCACTGTAACGGGCGTCAGTAGCGGTCAGTCCGCCGCTCGGGCGCCCCTCGCATGCCTCTCCTTGACAGGACGGGACAGGACGGACACACGACGCCATCTACAGTCAGCCAACGGCCCACACTGAGCCGCTGAAGCCTTTGAATAAAGGCGATTGGACGTAAAACGAGTCTGCAGGTCCACATCCTAGTTATTATCATTTCCCAAGCGAGTAACATACGCGAGCTCACGCTAAATATTTAACGTTTTACGTTTTACAATTGTATTTTACAGAAAGTAGAGGGAATAGCTGATACGACAAACCTTTCACATTTCTCACAAACGAGTCACATCATCCGACTTCCCAGGGCGCGGCCGCGCCAGTGCACGCTAACGCTCCACAAGGCCAGCGAGGCGCGGTGACTGACCTGGTCTTGAGGTACTGCACGACGGAGAGGTGCTCGTCAGAGGTGCCCGGCGGCGTGTCCACGATCAGGTAGTCGGTGTCGCCCCAGTCCACGTCGCGCAAGAACTGCTTGATGAGTCCGTTCTTCTTGGGTCCGCGCCAGATGACGGCGTCGTCGGGCGAGGCCAGCAGGAAGCCGACCGACATCACTGCCAGGTTATCCTGCCGGCCGCGGCACCGGGCCGTGTCAATGCCCGCAGCGGCTGGCCGTGTCACCACCCGCCGGCCGCGGCACCGGGCCGTGTCACCACCCGCCTCCGGGCGCCGGTCACCACCACACACACACACACACACACACACTCGACGCCATCTACAGACTGGGGACCGCCCAGACTGAGCCACTGGAGTCCTCGAAAAAAGGCAATGGGAGTCCATAGCCATGCTTATTAGTGGAATAAAATTAAAGATTGATACTGTCATTGAATAGCTGCACCACCTTAGCGCGTACCTTGACGAAGACGGGCGACCAGCCGGAGCCGGAATGGTGGACGTTCTCCCCCTCCAGCCCCATGATACGAGGCACCGACGGGCCACATATGTCGATGTCCAGCAGCGCCACCTAGCGACAACACATTATGCCCGGTTACATAGCATTTTTGACGAAGCTTCAGCTCATTTATCTTGCGATAATTTCGATGCAGTGCTCTTGGTAGATTGAGAAAGCATCATTTTGTGAATTGTTAAGCACCATTGCCATCTATTTCAACACCACGGGCGGAGCTATAAGCTTGCAACAATCCCCATGTACGCGGCTATCACTACCCAGTATGCCAGCACCACCTAGCGACCGGACTGCCGACGACCCGCAGAAGAGCAGCAGAACGAGATGAGGTGAGGTAGAGACAGAAAAGGGCGCAGTGGCCGCAAAATCCTTGTTATGTGCAATTTTGATGTGGACTCATGTATCACTATATTTTGGGTAGAATAAATTATATATATACATAATCAAATTGAAAAAAGGTTATCGGAGAATACAATATTCATCTCATAAAACGTAGATAGGAGCAGGAGTAATTAAACCTTACGTTCTTGTTCTGGTCCATGGAGAGCGTCTTGCTGAGCATGGAGGACACTGTTGACTTGCCCACTCCGCCCTTTCCAGACAGAACGAGGATCTTATGCTTGACGCAGGACAGTCTCTCCTCAATCTTGCCAAGGTCTACAAACACACAAGACTGCGTTCATTGTCGGTCGGGCTAGGGTCCACAGTGCAGTGACCACCGCGGGCTATGGTACTACAATTCACAGCCATGATGGTCGCGCAAGGGTATGACAATTCACAGCTCACAGCAGTGAAGGTCCGGCTAGGACATAACTGTTCACAGCAGCGATCCCCCGGCTAGGGTATCACCGTTTACATCAGTGACAGGGTGAGTATCTCAATTCACATCAGTGACGGCAATGCGCAGTACATCAGATTAGATCAGCACTCACATCCATGACCCAACTCCAGCCCGGTGCTGGGGTTGGTCTGAGCGGGGCTGGGGTAGCGGTCAGGCACAGGCGCAGTGCTGAGCTCGGCCGGCCCGCAGAAGGTACGTATATACGTACCCGGGTCTGGAGCGCGCGCCTGCCCCGAGGCGCAGATCTGCTGGTTGGGACAGCCAGCGCAGGAGGAGGCTTTGCCGGCATCTTCGCTCTCGGTGCCCGGGCAGTCTGCAAATGGCCGCTCATCTCAGAGTGCGGAACGGTTCAGGTGGGTCACGTGGCCTCGCAATTTGAATTCTTGGGAGAAATGAGTACAGGGAATGCTTATTTAACAACGGAAACAATACAATCATAATAGAAGCACCTGGATCACGATTTCATATCCTACGTGCACGATCCTATGCCTGGAGGCCTTTTAGACGTTATACCGTTACTGTCGGTGGTCTCCGGAATTTTCGTCAATAACTCAAACTCCCGACCAAACTCAGCTAGCAAGTCGGGAAAACTACTAACTACTAAGTACCCCAGCATCAAATAGCGAATCGATAAAACATGAAATATGTCCTCCTAGTGATCAACTTTCTGACCTCATGAGTCATGGGCTAGTTTGACCTAACGGTTTTGCCATTCCCAGTTTTGCCCAGTTTTGCTAGAACACAGTTTTGTCATTTCAAAACAAAACGTGCGGATAGGTACAGGACAGGTGCAGATATGTACGATTGGCCTGAAGATAAGGGCTCAGGCGACCTGTGATTTTGATGCGGTGAACACTCTTACCCTCGCCACAGCTCGGGCCGAGTGCACCCCTCCTCCCATTCAACCTCACCCCCACTCGAGCTGTGGCGAGGGTAAGGGTATTCACAGCATCCGAACTGCATGTCGCCTGGGCCCTCATCTTGAGACCAATAGTACCTAGTGGTGCCAACGCCATCGCTCAAGGACCATTTTATATCGCAAACTCGACATTAGAGCCCTTGACCTGTTACCTGACCTAAAGACGTTCAGAGACATTAGAATTGGGTACTAAACGCTGCGTATCGTAACGGCACACGAGGTCATTTTCCGTGACGCTTCTGTTCAATCAGGGATAAACTGCGTGGGTATCGTACGCCTCTCGCCGGGAGTGCCAAAAATGGGACTGGTGAATGATGAACGATGGGATGGGTCATGGTACCCACATGAAATGCTGACGAATTTTGACCTGCATGCTGCACTTAACTATTCAAGTTTGTGTATACACTTACTGTTTCCTAGTTTACTACCTACCTACCTACCTAGCATCTACCTACCTAGTTTATCATGACATCCTATTTTGATAGGTATGCTTTAAACTGCATGAAACACAATTTATCTTGGTTGATTCAACAAAAAGGACACAAAGTATTGAAAGTAAAAATCAATGTATTTCATAAATCACACCACATTCACGTAAATCTCTAAAAAAATTGTTGTATGTAGGCTAAGAAAGCAATTGGGTTCACAGTTTTTTTCCAAAACAGAATTTAATGAGATCCTGTTACACTCACAGGTGCACAATTTTTTAATTTGCTGGTGATTTCAACTCAATAATGCACCATATGAATTCACTTATCATTTCATTCATTCATCCTACTAAAGTCTAAACTTAGTTGGGCATATCCCAAGAAAATCATAGACAATTCACTTGTATGTACATCTAACACACAACACCATTGCAGTCTGGTGCAGTCAAATCCTGATTGCTGACTCAGTCCATTCCTTGGACTCACTCCGCATCAACAATGGTTGGTGCATACTCATCTGGTTCCTCACTGAAATCCCACTTGAACTTCTGCATGAGATGCTGTCTGAACAGCATTCCTCTTTGTCTCAGGCCTGTAGGGACATCCTCTTCCTCCAGGTTGGTGAACAGGATGTGAAGTGTATGCACCAGAAAGTTTTCTTTTGATATGATGTCAGTGAAGAAGTCCTCTGGCACCTCTTGTATCTGATAGTGCATACAAGTCAGGAGTTGCAAGAACATGTCTGGATACCTCCTCAAAGCCACATCACATGTGCAAAATAAGTGTACTAGTTTCTTCCAGTGCTCAAAAGCATCATACACATGGCCAACCAAAAAAGACACAAAGGCCACCTGAAGTTCTCCTAGCAATTGAGAAGGAGCCATGCTTCCCTCCAGCATTTTCTCCAGTCTTAATGATGAGTCAAGTGAATATGCTGTTCTAAACTCAGGAGATGCATTTTCCAGACACAGTGCTGATGGCAGAGCAGTGAACCTCAGCTCAGTGCCAGACTTGAGATGCATCTTTGGCAACATCCTCTCTTCTGATGAGCTTCCAGCTGCATCAAACTTTGGTTGTTCTTCATCAGCCTCAAGCAGCGATGCTGAGCACAACATCTCAGAGACGGGCTGCACTCTCTTCATGATCTCTTCAGACACATGACTTGTCAGTGCATACCACTTTTTCCATGTATCATAAGGAAATGCACCTAAAAATCTGTCCAACTCCTCCTTGTTGCTTTTTATGCGGTCCTTGTCATCATCTGAAACTTCTTTAAGTGTTTCAGTCACTGGATCCCATTTCCGAACAAGGATCTCTCCTTCACCAAAGAAATGAAAAAAGCTTGTTCTAGGAGCTGCCATGCTTTCTTTTCCAACTGCACTGTAGTGCAGCATGTGAAGCCCGGGTGGTATCATCTTCAAGCCTTTGAATTTATCTCCAGTTCTCCACACATTCATATCTATCCCAACTTCAGTGTTTTGAGGAACATCCAAGAAAACGACTGTTGCTCCAACATCAAACAGCTTCTTTGCAGTGTCAGGATCCATTTTAAGAAAACAAATTCTGCAAATCGACTCGACCTCGACCATAAAATAAAACAACAAAACGTTTCAGACGTGATGTTTTAAAATAAACATCCAGAATATCTGGAAGCACACTCAGACACAAAAACGACGCAACACAGACCATTGCAATAAAATATATACTCACGTTCAGGAGCATTTTCAGGAACATCAGCCATCCTCAAATGATCAGTTGTACAATTTGCAGAACCCTTTTAATGAATAACGTTTCCACGCCCATCAAAGAACGGCCGTTGTCACGAAACCCCACCTCTCCAGCCCCACCGCTCCCCGAGTCACCGTGACTGTCCGGTTTGTAAACAAAAGTTCTTTTGCTACCATATGAGAAAGAAACCTTTACCTGGCGGCTGCTACGGCGCTACGCTTCCCTTGCTGGCCGACGATTCAATGCAATAACATTTATATACACTGTGGCAATAACAACATATGATTATGCATGTAAAACAGGAGTGCGGAGCCGGAGTCAGAGCTGGCTTATTTTGAACGGAGCCGGAGCCGGAGCCGGAGCCGTCAAAAAGGGGGCGACACCGGCTCTTTTTTTTGAAGAGGAAAAAATTATTGACCTAGTTAGGTTTGACAGTTCAAGGCAGCCTATGCAAAATATGAAAATAGCCTTGTTATGCAAATACAGAGGCAACGTGCACCAATCCCATCGTCTTTTTTCTTCCACCCGTATTTAATTGCATAGGGGATGTACTGAGTATTGGAGCCGGAGCCGGACCATTTTACTCGGAGCCCCGAGCCGGAGCCGGATTCATTTTTTCCTCCGGAGCCGGAGCCGTCTGAAATTTCCACGGCTCCGCATCCCTGATGTAAAATAATAAAAAAGTAACCACTCTCATAGTCAGGGGTGCGGAGCCGGAGCCAGAGCCGGAGCCGGCATATTTTGCCCGGAGCCGGAGCCAAACAATATATAGCCTGGAGCCGGAGCCGTCAAAAAGGGGGCGACTACTCCGGCTCCTGCTTTTTGAAGAGAAAAAATTATTGACCTAGTTCGATTTGACTGTACAATGCAGTGACAGTATATGTGACATTCAAAATAGCCTTGTTATGCAAATACAGAAGCAGCGTGCACCAATCCCATCGTCTTTTTTCTTCCACCCTTTTTTCTTCCAGTATTGGAGCTTTCTTCCACCGCATAGGGGATGGACTGAGTACCTATTGGAGCCGGAGCCGGACCATTTTGCTCGGAGCCGGAGCCGGAGTCGCCATGGCATTTCACCCGGAGCCGGAGCCGATTTTTTCTCCGGAACCGGAGCCGGAGCCATCTGAAATTTCCACGGCTCCGCATCCCTGATGTAAAATAATAAAAAAGTAACCGTACTCTCATAATCAAAATCGAAAATCGTAAAAAGGCCAGATAATTCCGAGAACTATCTGGCCTTTTTACGGTGGTCCTGTGTCTTCGGATTGAAATGGGTGGTTTCTGGTTATTTTATGATCACGTCATTATAGTGCTATGGGCAGAGTATCGAATCCTGAACATAAATCGGCTTGTACAAGTTATATAGTGGTACATAACCCGCGCCCGGCTGGGGGTCCTGGATTTCCACGCCCTGCTGGGGGGGGGGGGTGTTTGAACACCCCCCTTCTAACTCGGCTTCTGGGCCACGTAGCGATACGCGGAAGGCGGCGTTCGAAAGAGCGTCAAAAATCAGGAGGAAATCACTTCGGTCAATTTTTTGGTCAGGTCAAAGGTCAGGTCACCAGAGGTCATTGAAGGCAAAATTTCGCCGATTTCCAGGTCGAATGTCGAAAATTTCCAAGAAGCCAACGCATAACTCGGGAACCAATAGAGCTACAGCGCCGCGGAAAAGCGCATTCGATAGCCCTATTAACGCCCTTTCCGAGTAATTCTCTCTGATTTGACCTAACGTCAACGGTTTTGCCTGCAGGGGGCAAAAACTGCAAAAATAGCCGATTTTTCGGAAACAGTTTTTCTGCAATAACTTTTGACCCAAGCATTGTACGAGCTTACTTTTACCGGCATCGTGTTCCTCTCGTCAAGATGCATCGAATGAACTATAACTTGACCTTGAAAGGTCAACTTGAAAATTTGACCTCAGGTCAAGGTCATGACCTGACCGGAAAGGGTCATGTTGCATATCAGTCGATCCGTATCGTCGAGCTGAACACATCTAAGGCGTTTTCATCGCTCTAGCATGCCTCTATCAAAAGTTATTTGCGAAAAACTGTTAGATACCATTCGTGACCTAAGATGACCTCAGGGCATAAACAGGGGTCACGGACACCATTTTCATGTTCAGTGTGTCTAAACCACTTGTAATTCAGTGTTTGGGAGTGTTTATAATGTCTTTCGTCCAAAGGAGGCGCATTTCAATTTTCTCCCATTGACTTATAATGGGGAGGTCGCAAAATTGACCTGACCTTAGGTCATCGATATCAAAATTCTGAGATACCTATACATTTTGTACATGCTATTGCTCTTAGCAATCGCTGAAAGTTTCCAAGCGATCGGTCACTCGGTGTAGCTATGACAGACATTGAAACTTTTTATGAGGTGAGGTCACTTCAAGTGACCTGGTGACCTGACCTTGAATGACCTTGGTCTGAAAATTTACAACATGTGTAGAATTGATGTATGATAAGGTGTACCAAAAACGGCGGCGCTCCGCGCCGCCGTTTTTGAGATATTCGCGAAAAACCACAAGGGGGGTGTTCAAACACCCCCCCAGCAGGGCGCGGGATAATCTAAGTATCAGGAAGTACCTCAAAATACAATCCGAGATTATCGTATCGCCGGGCAGGGCAGACCACTCTCAAATGGATGAAGGCTGAACGCCGACTCACACGTCCACCTTTGTGCGGTAGATATAACCGGGTCTTCTTGACGTTATCACTAAATCACATCATGCTTCATCAGCTTACGTGTTACAGCCCCAGCACTGCGACTCAGCCTTCCATAGCACAAGCATTCAAAGTTCCAGAGCCTGGCTTTGAACAGCCCAGATGTCTGGTAAAATCAGGTGGAAGTGTCATAGCCGAATTTCGTCAGTCTCTGTCGTAACTCGTAGCCCCCAGGCAGTAGGTACTGAGTCAGAGTGAGGTACTGCAGTCGTCCAAAGGCAAAACAATGCACTCGAAGTGTAACGCACAGTCAACATGCTTCACATGCAGCCTGAATAGAGTTTCGAGGTGACAAGACAACGTTTCGTTGTTTTCACCAATCGAGACACGCGCACTCTTCACTAGTTTATTAGACACCCGCCGCCCGAGCGGACAGAGCATTTACAATAACACATTATAGTCTCGGCGGCCACGTGTAACAAATGAATCTCGAGTCAATGACTTCCAAAATATACGAAACTAAGCACTAGCAGCTCACTCACTCTCTCCCTCCCCGCCCAACCGCCGGTAAACGACAAATACCGTTGACCCCCTCGCATACAAGCACTCAAACACAAACACACACATACACAAACATACGCACATAGCACGCACCCGGAAACAGAGGCCACACCGGAGGGGGCGGCGGCGGCCCCAGCGGACCGTCCGGCCGGCCGCCCGCGAGCGCTCACTCTCACATGACTTTGTGGTCGGTCGTCGCCGGCAGCCCGGCACCGCGCCGCGAGCGGAGTCCCGCGCCGTGCTGCCGCTCACTGCGTGCACGCGCTGCGTATGGGTGTATGGGTGTGAGAAGACAGACCAATAGCGTCCGGAGGCCGGCGGCCCAGCGGACCGAAACTGTCAGTGCCCGCAGCTGCACTCGCACATCACTCACTCACGCACAAATAAAAACAGGTTGCCCATGACACGTCCGCCAGTTTGAGCAACGTTAAAAAAGTGTTGTACCATCTTTGGGAATAGGGGGGGGGGGGTATGTGATGCGTTTGGGGGGCGGCGCCGCGGCCGGCGGTGATCACAGTAGTGGGGGAGTGCTCGCGCCGCCCGCGGCCGTCACTCGGGCTTCTGCGGGTCGCGCTGTTTGCGGCGCGCGCCGGTGGACGCGTCAGGCTCGACGGTGGCGCCACTGGTGGTGTTGCGCGGAACCAGCAGAATGCTGCCGTCCGCAGACTGCTGCAGACTGTACTCGAGCGGCGAGTACGGGTTGCCGTCCGGGTCCCGTAACGACTGAAACACAAACCGGCGCGCCGTGTCAGCGGATGGGCCCGCAGAGTGGTGTGGGCTGAGACAGGCGACACACGCGACACGGGTCACACAGGCACGGGGAGGGAACTCTGCATTATAGGGAGAACTCTGGGATCAGCCCGGCGGCCATCAGTTATTCCCAGTACCAGCAGCTGACACTTCAACAGCAGCAGGCGAAAACAGTTACGGATTCTCAACGTCAGAACAATGCTGTATACACATCTCTGCTCGGCACTGTCGACCCGACCAGCCACTATATCCTTGTTCCCTTCCTCATCCCATATACAGAGAACTCAGAACAGTGACACCCATAATGCGACTCGTGGCTGAACAATCCGGGGCAGAGGTGAGGAGTTTATTCCAGCTCTCCCGCTGCCTCCGTGCGCCGACTCATCTCTCGGCTCCGACTCAGACTCACAGTTCCGACTCAGACTCACAGCTCCGCCCACGTCATTCAGAGTCCGCTCCGACTCACAGCTCGGCTCGGCTCAGAGTCACAGCCCGGCTGCGGCGGCGCGTCTCACCTGGAAGACGTGTCGGTAGAGCTGCGAGTACTTCTCCTTGATGCGGCTGCGCTCCTGCAGCAGAAACTGGTGGTCGGCCAGCGTCTGCTGCTTCTGGTCCTTGGCGCGCTGCACCTCCTCTGCCAGCGTCAGAATCTGGTCCAACTTGCGTTTTCGACAGTTTTGAGCGGCCAGCTGCAGACGGGCGCCGAAATCGGTCAGATATGGGCGCAGAAAATAGCGCACAAATACATAACGGCACAAATTTATTACATCACTAGTTCATAGTGTGCTCGTCTGCACTGAAAAACGGATAAACGGACGGATATGATATAGAAGGCCGTGAATTATCTGTCTGGCCATGACTAGCTGAACGGCGCAGTGCGATGCGTCTCACTCTTGCCGGAGTGCAAAATCATGCTACGAAGCCGGTGCTGAGTCACTTTTCTATGACATCCTGACGTCGACACATTTATTGACATCACTGATATCACTGACACCATTGATAATATTGAGCAGAATTGCTCGCCAGCCCTCCAAGAGCCCCCATCATCAGCATTCTAGGCACAGGTTCGAGGTAAGGTGGGATTCGAAGCATGTATCAACAAAACATTCACGGCAAAAGTTCAGAGATACGCTGACTACGACACTGACACTGCGGACGGGAATGAGGAAGGCTATGGGTTAAGAGGGGTTAGGAGGGGATGAGGGACAAGCAAACAGGCACAGCTACATAACGTCGGTCAAAAAGACACAGAGATAGATAGATAACTGGGATAGTGGATACACGAACAGACAGACAGAGACAGACTGACGGACGGACGGAGAGACGGAAGGATGAACGGACGAATATACGAGTCGGGCGGGCGAGACAGACGGACAGACAGAACCGTAGCCAGTGTTGGGGTTGGGCGGCGCACGTACCTTGTTCTTGCCGCGCCGTCGGATATCTCGGATGAGGCTGAGTTGTGCCTCGGTCAGGTCGTGCTTGGAGAGCCGCTCGTTGAACTCGTCCATCGGCAGGTGGATGATGTCCTCGTTCGAGAGCGGGATCGACATGGAGCGCGCCCGCTTCTCGTCGCGTGTCAGGTGCTCCTTGGGCCGGTCACCGTCTGAAGGGCCGGTCAGCCGAGGTCAGATCAAGCACCACACGCCAATCCCAGAAATAAATCTGATGCAACTGACTACAATGACCTGATATTATTTAGCTACCATTCATTGCTTCGGACATGACGAGAACGACAAGAAATTTAAAAAACGCATTTGGTGTTCCCAACTCAGCCTCAGCCCGCCAACACGCGCCGCTGGATGCGTCTTTCGCTGGCCAACAGAGAAGCAGTGCGCCACGGCCGTCGCGGGCCGTCGCTGTGCGTCCACTCACGTTTGTCGCGGCTGAGCTGGCGCTGCACGCCGCTGGGCCCCTCCGTCTGCGGCGGCAGGTGGTAGCTGTGGTTGTGAGACACCAGACCCATCCGGTCGCCGGGGTGCTGCCGACACACGGACACAGCGCGTCAGTCGGTCAGCGCCGCCGTCACCGGGCTCCGCTGGTACACGATAATTAGACGGACTGACACCAGGGCCCCACCGGCGCCACCACCGCCCCTAACGGACACTAGACATACCATATGGCGCGAGTCCACCTCGACAGTCACTGGAATATCGCGGCCACTGACCGAGACTGCAGGCCACACCGATCGCTCCTGAGTCAGCCAGCCTTCCACCCAACAGTCAACAAACAATCCCCCGCACAGACAAGTAACACCAACAGGAGCCCGCCGGCGGACAGCCGCAGCGGTCAGCCACTTACGCCTCGCATGAAGTCCATGCTGCAGCTGTATTTGAGCTCTGGCGACTCGAGGGCGGCCGCTGCCGCCTCCGCCGAGCCGGGGGTGGACGGCGGGTAGCCGTGGCCGCTGGCCAGGCCACCCTCGGCGCCGTACGCCGACGGGTATTTCAGCGGCGCCGCCGGCGACGGAGAGCCGGGGGGCAGTGCACTGCCGCCGGCCGCGCCGTACGGACCTGCGGCACACGGACAGGGTTAGACGCAGGCTACAGCGCACACTCACAGACACGGGAGCGCGGAGTGGCAGCACGCCAGTCCAGGCCCTAGTAGGCGTAGCTTCATTATGACTAGTGTAAATAGATTGATTTGTGTAAAAAACAAAACAAATAATCTGTTGTTTGTAAGCAGTATGAAAAGCGGTAAGCTATCATGCGAATAAAACAAGCCATATTTTAAGCATGACTATGTGACATACGACCAGTTAAAGAGGGCCAAGCACAACACTCGTCCAGCTAAGCCGGTGGCGGAGGCGTTGCCGGCCCCGGCGCGGGCGGCAGCTCACCGTCTGCTCCCTGGAAGTAGCGTTTGCCGAAGAACTGGTGCTTCTTCAGCTGGGCGCTGGGCAGACTGGCGGCGCGCGAGTCGGGTGGAGGGCCCGGCACTGTCGGCGAGGCGGCCGCCGCCGCCGCCCGGTAGCCGCTGTACTCGTGCAGACGGTGCGCCTGGGACGCCCTGTGACCGGCAGTAGAGCGGTCAGAACAGCGGCAGTACACAATACGGGCATGCAATCACAGCGGCTGTGCGCGGCAGAAGTTGAACTACGGGGAATACCAATGGCTAGACGGTGCAGAGACGCTGTGCAGTCACACTATTAGTGATTCAGCGAGACAAGTCAGCCTCCGACAGCACATTGCTGGGAGAATGATTCACAACCCGTGAGACAGAGTGTATTGGAAACAAACCGACTCAGCCCACCCTCAACAAAGACACGAGCGAGTACATTTCCACGGTTCCGAGGGCTGTCCGGCCCCACGCGTGGCGCGCGCCGGCCCGGCCCACTCACTTGGCGTAGTCGGAGGTGGGCGCTGAGAACTGGTCGTCGGCCGCGCCGGCGCCGGCCGCCCACTCGGCGTGACCTGCGGAGCGGAGGGGGCGGCGTCCGGTCACCGTCTGCGGCGCAGCCCACCCGACTCGCACAGCCCGCCCGCGCCAGTCACCCCGAGTCGTCACCTCTGGCGCCGGGGAAGGTCCGATAGCGCCCCCGCCCCGCCCCCGCCCCCCTACCGGCCGCACGGCGACCACCGAAGTGCCGCGTCATGCTTTCATCAGGTGTGGTGAGTTGGGACGGACGGGCGCGCTGTTCGCGGACGACCGGCCGTCTCTGGCTCGGAGAGTCGTGGAGTCGCTGGGGGGTGCACTGAAGGGGACGGAAATAGGGAAGAAATGGAATAGCAATGGAAACGGAACAGGGCACAAGAAATCGCTTGTTTATGAGGGCTTTAGGGCGTTTGAACAAAGCAAACTGGCGAGAGAAAACAATGCGACGAGATAGGAGACAAGACGAAACGTAAAGAAAAATGAGACAAAACCACAAAACAAAGGAACAGGAGAAAAGGGGCGAATGGTGAGGCAGGTGTCGAAACGGATAACGGGAGGAGGACGAGGCAAGACAAGAAGGGGACGGGACTGAACGAGGTGGGAGACGAGACGGAACGAGAGGAGACGGGACGAGAGGAGACGGAACGAGAGGAGACGGGACGACGGAAGCGGAGACAGGAGTACAGAACACTATTACGGTCCACGGACAGCACCCTAAGAGGATTTACCCCACATCCAGCACTCTGCCTTCCCCACAACACTGCGAAATACAAAACTCGTTCAGCCATAGAGTGACACCACAGCTGCACTTGTAAACCTATAAATTTGGCAAAATAATCTAGTTTTGATAAAGAAAACGCACATGCCATCAAAGCCAGCCCAGCAACGCACGCTTTTACCTATCACAAACACTTGCGTAGAACAAACATGACACTATTTACATGTAGGTGCATGACTGGACATTTGGGTTGGGCAAATGGCACCGATATATCCGAGTCGAGGTGGGGAGCAGCCGATAACGATAAAGTGCACACGAAGTTCGCTACTACTGTCTCCCAGCAGTACACAGTTTCCCACGTCACGTCTCAAACGTTTCCCGAACAGCGAGAAGACTGCGTGGAGACAGGGGCTTCTTGGAGACTTCTTGGAAGGCTCTCCCTGGCACAAGAAGATTCCTGATTCCTATAAAACCGCCTCCCTGGCGAGAGAGGGATCTCCTTGAACATCAACATCCCTGGCGCCCATGAGCCCGCCTCTATGGCGGGGAAGAGTTCTCCCTACACACCCAAGCTCCCTGGCGCGTATGAGCCCGCCTCCCCGGCGGGCGGCGGGCGGCGCTCGGCGGCACGTACCGGCGGCGGAGGCGGCGCAGCACGGTCGCGGGCACGAGCTGGCCACCGGGTACAGCACGTACTGGGCGGGACAGAGCAGCGGGTACTGGTAACCGGTGTGCAGCACCGGCGGCCGCCACGGGGTCGCCATCGCCGCCCGCATCCGGCGTCTAGCGATACTTGCGCTGAGACGCCGGCCGGGCTAGCGGGCGGGCGGGCGGGCCGCGCCCGCGCAGATCGGTTCAGAGGCCGTCCCGAGGAGGAGTTGGAGTGTCCAGCCGACACCGTCCGGCCAGCGTCTAGCGATACTTGCACTGAGACGCTGACGCGGCCAGCGCCTAGCGCCGGCGGCCGGCGGCACTCACAGGGCGCCGGCGGCGGGCTCGGCGGGCGATTCGGCAGCACGGCGCGACGACTGGCACGGACAGCGGCCGGTGGGCGCGGCGGGCGACTGGCGGCATCTCCGGCCCACGGTGCAGCACCCACTGACCGGCCGGCGGCGCGCGCGGCGCGGGGTGCGCCCTCCTCCACCGCCGGCCGATACAGCGCTATCAGCCCTGTCGCCGGGCCACGTGACGACCCCCGGGCGCGCGCGGGACAAGGCCGCGCGCCGCGTGACGTCAGCGCGTCGGTCGGCGACGTGGCGTGCCGACACCTGTCGTCGACAGCCCACCGTGTCGGGCTGGAGCGGCGGCCACCTCGACACATCCAGGACGGTGGGAGAGGCGCCGGCTGAGCCGCGCCACGTTCGGCGGCGAGACCGAGTCACGGAGGCGGCGCCCGTCTGCGAGTGGGTGTGCCATCACGCTCTCTCAGTCGACTTAAATTATATATCTTCGGTAGGCACCGGCAAAAAGTGGCATTGCTCGACGAACCTAGGCCACAACTGTGGAGTTACCTAGCTGTTATCGAAACGATACAAGAAGCTGTATGTCACCGTGAGCCCGACGTCGCCTAAGTCATATCGCGCTGCCAGCTGCCCCCTATACCGGCCGGCCTACCAACAAGATAGTCGAGAGACCCTGACGAAAGCCATCACTACTTCCTAGGTCCACGTATGATACGGTATGAAAACTGAGCAGTGATAGTGATTGCAGCATTCATTGTTGTAGCAGTCTCGGAATTGACGGTTGCATAAAAGGATTTACTGAGTCACCGGCCGATAACTTGTGTCAATAGACTTTCATTATCTGTTGCGATACCCTGGTTGCGATATGCCTCTCCAAAACCGATAAAAACGAAATCGAGAGTGAACAAAATGACATACTTCACAGTAATTGCAGATAAAGCAGCTAATGATTCAATGAATTGATGACTTGCAAAAGGATCCTAAAAACAAAAGTAAGAGCTATTGAAAGTCATATCAAATCCCTCCCCAGAAAATGGGCACCACAGCGAGTCGCAAACATGCACCTGATGTCACCAAAGCGCAATGACACGCAGTCAATAACAGTGCTTGCGTTGGCTATTCAGGAGTGGTGTCGCATCAGCCTGCGGTCACGATTTGTAGGGCCTAATCAATAAAGAAATGTATCAAGGGAACTCCGCTACATCTCAGCACAACCCCGCGATGCACCACTGGAATCATCCTCAGGCGGCACGGTGTTCCGGGTGTTCTTCCTCCCTACCGCACCGCCGACTGGCGCGTACCGGCTCCACTCACCATCGGACATGGGCATCTCCATCAGCTGCAGCTCGTCGACGCCCAGGATCTGCGACAGGAAGCCGCCGTCGTGGGGCGGCGGCGGCGGCGGCGGCGGGTCGGCGGCCGCCGCGCCGGCCACCGACGACGCCAGCGCCGCCGCGCTGTTCTGGTAGTACATCATGTCGCCGCCGGCGGCGCTAGTGGCCGCCGGTCCGGACGGGTGCAGGCCGTCCGTGGTCAGGTTCATTGACGACACGACCGCCGAGCCCAGGTGGGAGACGCTCCCTGTGGAGCACGGCGGACGGCGGTCAGAGGGTTAGACGACTGGGACACGGGTATGAGCGTCTGAATGGTACGGGTCCGTGCTGGGAGCGCCAGCTGAACGCGAGGTGAAATACCGCTGGCGACTGAGAGCAGACAATGTTGATCAAACAATCCATCGAAGCTCAACACATCACACAATAAAAACCAATAGCCCGTTTAGTAAATAAAACGAGAAGAATTAGCGGTGAAAGAACAGCCACAAATGACGTTAGCTAACTTAGCCCCCATGCCGCTGAAGCGGCACAGTCCCTCAGGCCACTAGGACCTGTGGACCAGCAAGGGCCTGTCGCACATCTCATTCGACCACTGGAGACGGTGCCGGACAGCGCGCCCGACCAGCCCGCCGGTACCGAGTACTGACCCATGCCGCCCGAGGCCGAGTAGCCGGCGCCGCCGTTGGTGACCAGGTCGGCGGCCGAGACGGCGGTGGGCGCGGCCGGGGGCGGCGGCGGCGGCGGCGCCAGGCTGGCGTTCTGCAGCAGCACCGAGCGCGCCATGTCCGGGTGGTGGGCCGGGTGGCCGGCCGGCCCGTACGCCGCCGCGCCGTACGGGTAGGCCGGGTGGTGCGCCGCAGAGGCGGCCAGCATCTGCTGGTGGGCGTGCGTCATGCCGCCGGCGGCAGCCGCCTCCTGCGCCGGCAGCGACAGCAGGCTGGCCAGGTCCTGCCAGCGCTGCTCCATGCTCATCGTCCGTATGAACGGCAGTCGACCCTGTCAGCACGAGCGCGGCGTTGGTCATCGGTGCTATAACGTTTCTCGCTTCAAACACAACAGTCAAACAGCACTGTGATGCGACAAAACAAAGCAGACGAGAACCTGGCTTGCAAAGATTACGTTACGTTTCACACTTAATGTGTAACGACTTCATTTTCAAATATGATAATGACTATGCAATTGAAATCAGATAGCACGATCGTAAGAGCAAAGAAACTATTAAGACACGCATCAAACCACTTCCCCCATTCCGCACCAAGGGATCCGTTGAAGCCATGCCAGCATGCAGCGAAAGCGCGCAACACTTACCTCCTCCGAGATATGATTCTTTATGCCCATACATTGGCATTAAACGCACGACTCCGTGCGTACACAGAAATCGCAACACCAACAACTCGGTTCAAGTTCTTGACTGTATCATCAACTCCACACCCAGCTTGACTAACAACGGCCATCCGCCCCGACTGTCATATCACGGGGACGCCAGGCGCGTGCAGAGGCCGGCTCTCATCTTGTTCGCATGGCGCCGGCGTCCACCCAGCGGCCGGTCTCAACTGCAGGTGGAGGGAAGGTCAGAGACTGGGACTCACTGCTCCGGGCGCGGCCACCGTCCCGGGAGTCGCGGAGGGGAACAGGACAGGATGGGACCTCGCGCAGCGCCCCGCAGACCGACAGGTGAGCAGCGCGCGCCAAATTAGCCGCGAATTGGTGTTGGCTCATTTGTCGCAGCGTAGTCGTTTTTGTGTGCTCTCGGCGCGGGAAATTAGTGTCACCGACGAGCGCGCTGTAAAAACGTGGCCAGCTAGGGCGGCGGCGGCACACTGACGTCCCGTCGCGGCGCCACCGTCAGCCGCCGCAAATGGACCGCACACCGCCGACACAAGCGCAAAAACGCCCTATCTGATCCAAATTAAAATTCATGACAAATTACGTGTGCAGCCTGAAATGGTGCGAGGGCCATACATCAGCGGCGGCCGTCACGCCGCCGCCGCGCCCGGCGCACACCGAATCAATTAAACTGTTGAGCCATCGTGAGGCGGCGGGGCGGCGGACAATGTTCGCAGGCCGCATCGCGGCGCGACAACATCCGCCGCGCCGCGCCGCGCCCGGCCGCCGCGGGGCGTGACCCGCCGGCGCGTGGCCGCCGACCCCGACAGGTCCCGCCAGGAAACGGATCAGATACCACCACCGCGCCTGCCGATAGGGCATAATTCAATTTCACACCTTTGCTGGGCAGTGATGGAGCGGGGGCGCGATTTCATCTAACAATTTATTAATTTGTGAGCAAACGGCGGCGATCGGCGCGGCGCGGCCCGTCGCTCGGCGGCCGCCGGGGCGGGGCGGGCCGCGAGTTTCCTAAGTGTGGAACTGCCCATACCTAAGTTCTCTGATTGGCGTAAGCTTCGCCGAGATGACGTTACAGGCTGTGACGTCATGGCTCACAGTCGGCCGACCAATCGCTGCACGATTATAGGCTAGCGGCGCGCGGCACTAGCGCCCCTGGTGTTATTATGGGAAGTTGAGCAATACATTGAAATCTAATACGTAGCTTGTGTTTGGAACAATTACGTATTACTAAGGCGTCAATGTCTCACAAATTAATTCGTCCATGCTCCTCAAATTTTGCAAAGTGACCTTATATTGTGCGTCATAAGGTACTACGCTTTAAACAATCAGCACACAGCACCAGCCAGGCATTGTTACAAGTAGCGAGCAGTTAAGTGGCGGCAGGTGGCGCTACCATCTCCAGTATCGGTCCAGATGGCGTCACTCACTATCCGCACTGTAGATCCGCACTACCTGCGAATAAAATAAATAATAAATCCGCTAATAATCTCGCTAATGGATCTGCTAATAATAAATCCGCACTACCTACTAATCTGTGTCCTATTGGTGTTAAACATCATTCAACGCCGACAGGCAGTATCACCAGCCGTAATACTGAAGACATTTACTCAATGCTGAAGCGAAACGCAGTGCACAAACCCCACCGTCAAAACTCAAGCACCTCGTAGGAGATATGCTTCCAAGGTGGGCGAATGCACGAACGATAACTGAAATAACACCGGTTATATATTCACGTAGAACAAGTTGCTTTTTCCCTAACTAGGGAACTCGCTAAAATTAAGACTGGCTAAATATTTACGCAGGATAACTGGCTCCGCCTCTTCGCCAACTTAAGGACCCGCCAATCCATGCACCTAGCCGCCAGCGCCAACTGATGACGTCACTCGAACGGGCGACGGTATGAATAGTTCCACACTTAGGAAACTCGCGGGCGGGCCGGCGCCGATCGGTCTCTGCGCGGCGGCCGGCGACACCGACCCGCCCGGCGTCTATACGCCACCGTTTGACGGCGGTCGCCATCAATCACCGATCGGAGCCGGCGGCAGCGTCTCGTACACAAAGCAGCGCCGGCGGCGAGCCAGGTGCGGTGTCGCCCGGCGCGCTGACACGCCGTCCGACGGGTCACTGCGCCTCCGCCGCCGTCCTCCCGCCCGGCCTGTTGAGACGCGTCATCAATCATACCCAGCAACCGACTGCGTGAAGGTCGCGAGCGACGCGGCTCCGCTGGTCGGCTGAGTATCTGACCCCAGGGGCCGCCGGGACGTACCGACGCACCGTGGGGACTTTTGCGATCCTAGCACGACATAAGTGGCAAATACGAGTATTTTGATTTACACTTTCTTTATATTCTTTCTACGCAGAATTGTCCAGTGTATCCGAATCCGACCTTAAATCGCTTTAAAAATGATGACTTATACATCAAAATACGTCACAAAGTGAAGGGTTGAGCTCACTAGCACCGTGCTCCTAGGATAAGGCGAAAAATAACATGACAACGGAACACCTGCTCACTCGTTTAATCAAGCACCAATTCGATGTTGCGACATGTTTTTATAATCTGTATTTAATGAGGAATACGAGAATATGCATAAAAAGTTCGAAAAATAATCCAAAGGTATGGTTTTTGAATGAAATACAAAAAATGTTAATATGCCACTCGTCTCGGAGATTTGACTCGGCAAATCATAGCCTTACAAAGTGAGTTACGCGGTGTTACGTGTGGAAACACATATCAAAATATTCTCCCATAAATTCTGCATTGGAATCAACTCTTATCTTTTGCCCAATTTTGCCCAAACAGCTACTACGAGACATCAAAGCAGAAGATGTCGCATGGCTTCCAGCGCTCCGCCGCGCTGCCCGGCGCCGCGGCGGTCAGCTGACTGCGGTGTACCGCCGCAGGGGTTACGTGTGGAAACACATATCAAAATATTCTCCCATAAATTCTGCATTGGAATCAACTCTTATCTTGTGCCCAATTTTGCCCAAACAGCTACTACGAGACATCAAAGCAGAAGATGTCGCGTGGCTCCCAGCGCTCCGCTGCGCTGCCCGGCGCCGCGGCGGTCAGCTGACTGACGTACCGCCGCAGGAGTAAAGTCGTGCTAGGAGGGGCCAAGTCCCCACAGTGCGACGGCACGGCGGACCAATACCTGCCCCCGCTGCACCCGGTTCACTCGCCGCCGCACTACAGAGTCAGCGCCGCGCAAAAAGCCGGCAGAGTGCAGCGACGACATCCATCACGGGCCGGCCGACAGGCACACATGTGTCGGCACAGGGCGCCGCGCTGACCCGCCGGCCGGCCACACGTGCGGCCGCCGCTGGCAGGGCTCAGAGGGCACAGCGCGGACCCGCCGGCCGGCCGGACGCAGCGCCGTGCATTTGTCACACTCATCTGCTGGAGGTCAGGTTCTGGGCCGGCCGAGCGCCGCTGCCGGGAGCCCCGCCGGGCCACAAGGCTGCCGGCCGGCGGGCGGCGGCGGCGCCCGGCCACAGCCATATTCGGCCCAGCTCGAACGGGCCGCGCTGACCGCCAATCTACGCGGAGACGGCACCGGCAGGTCAGGGCGGCCGCCGTGACCCGCAGGTCAGCCGTCGGCGCGGAGACTGCCGCTCGGCTCGGCGGCTGAATGAAGGCGGCCGCGCTGATGGATGGCGGCGGCCGGCGTATTAGCACGGCGCGGCGACACAATGAATACTAACTACCGATGGCGGCAGCGATACGGCCGCCGCCGCTGTCAGCCAGGTCGGCCGGTCTCGGACGGTCTCGGCCGGTCTCGGGCTCCCGTGCCGGGCCGCCGCCGCACGAACTGACGGAGTAGGAGCCCAAGACGGTAAGTGCGGTATGGCGACGGTGCTCCACGGTCCCTAGAGCCTGCACACCGCTGGAATTGGACCCAATAGCAGCGTCACGACGCTGTCATCTGTCGGCGACGCTGCGCCGGCACGCTCGGTGGCGAAAACGGCCGCCAGCGGCTCAGGTCAGTGGGCACGGGCTCGAACTGATACACCGCGGCCCGTCACATCATCTCGCCGAAAGGTCCACACCAAAACATCAATAGGTGACCGGAGAATGACTGGCCAGAAGCACCGTCAGTGCGAAATGATCAGAGGGCATGGGACGTCCTACAGAAGCCAACGGTCCTAGTAGCGAACACTAAGTGGAATACTGAAAGGGGCTAAATATTGAACAAAATATTTGTGGTTTGTGTGCTTTTAGTTGGCAGGCACTGATACCCGTGAGTGACCAGCGATACAATGCTGCTGAGCTGAACTGGACAGTGGACACGCTATGAAAATCATTGACCGTCTTCCAAAAATAACGCCGTGTCTTATCAAGTAAGATACTATCGCACTTCACGGAACAACATCGCCGAACATGGGCCACTTTTACCTATCATCTGCCCTGGGAATGGTGACACGAAACTAGCAAATACCATCCATCCAGGCAACAAGTCAGGAGCCTCACCTTCGGGAGTCATATCGAGCACGTTCAATCCCGGTCACATGACACTCAGTCATGAGAGCATCACTGCTGGTAGTTCATTAGACCTCGATAGGTCTAATGAACACTGACAACGACACACGTGCACCGGGCTGACGGAAGGGTTGGTGAGCCGACAGGCGGCAGATTGAGTACCCGGGACAAG